TCTCTCTCTCTCTCTCTCTCTCTCTCTCTCTCTCTCTCTCTCTCTCTTTCTCTCTCTCTGTCTTTCTTTCTATCTCTTTATTTCTTTCTCTCTCTCTTCTTATTGCTTTCTTTCTCTCTCCTTTTTATTTCTTCATTTTTAAAAAATTTTTATTTTTCAATTTTAGAGACATGGTTTCTCTGTGTATCTCTGGCTATCCTAGAACTCAGAGATCTGCCTGCCTCTGTCACATAAATCCTCCCATTAAAGGTGTGCTCTACCATGTCCAGTTCCTACAGTGCTTCTTTCTCATAGTTTTATAGTCTTCAATTACTTTTGAGTCAATGCACTGTATATTATCAAAAAGAAGGACACAAGTCTGTTTTCTTCTGTAAGTAGATATACATTGGTTCTAATAGGTTCCAATACTATTTATTTTTCCTACTCTGTTTTCTGTTCTTGGCAATTTTATTAAAAATTAATCCTGCCATAAATACTTGCTTTTATTTCTTGACTCTGTTTTGCATCCTTGGTCAATGTATCTGCTTTGACATCAGTACCAGGTCTGCCATGCCTTCAAGGTATATTTTGGAGATAGATAGTGCAGGCCTCCTGCTTTGTTCTTTGTCCTTGGGATGGCTTTGTCCACCTTGTGAGGCCATATCTATTTTAACAATTGCTTTTCAACTCTGTGAAAAATGTCCTTTGAATTTTTGCAGGGCATGAATAGGGTTTAGATCACTTTGAGCAACAGACATTTTACTGATTTTAATTCTCTGACCCATGAACATGGGATGTGTTCCTCCTCTGCATGTGTTCTATCCATCACCGTCCCATAGATTTAACTCCTTGGTTAAATTTATTCCTAACTACTTCATTTCTAGTTCTTTTAAAAGGGATTATTGTAATTTTTCTTAATATGTTATTAAGTAATGATTTTAAAATAGTGTTCTCTCTGGTAGGATTGTACATGCTCTAATTCCAGTTCTCGAGGTGAGGGCAGGAGGTAAGGCTCTATCTCAAAATGCCCAAAACAGAAAAGGAAAAAAATTCTTTTGTTCTTGAATCCTGATCTCGGGACTACTTCAAAATTTCACATATTATGAAATTCACAGGCAGAAGAGTAAGAGTTTAGAGGAGATATCTGTGTAAGTCAAATATAAATAACAATAATTATACACATAGACTGTGCACCTGTTAAAGATTTATAAAGAATAGCCCAGAGACAATGGGTACCTATTTCAGAGTCAGATTATTGGATTATTGATCTATTTAGCTACCTCAAGCAAACCTTTGTGTTGGTATCCTCATCTATAAACAGGGACAAAAAGAGCACCCTTACCTCATGAGTTGTTGAGAGCACTGAGGAGCCATGCCTGGCATCTATTTATAACCCCAGCACTCAGGAAGCAGCAGCAGATGGATTTCAAGATTAAGACCACCTGGGCTATATGTAGAATAATTTAGTGTAGATAAAATGTACATAGTAGTGCTTTGGCATATAGCGAATGCCGCTGGGATTGTCTACATCATCATTTCTGTTGTTCAATGCATGTTCAGATGTTAATCTCATAACCACCCATACTTACTTATTTTACTACCAAGGAAATTTATGTTCAACTACTTAACTTTTAAGTTGTGGCTGCTGGTATGGAAATTGTGTTAGTCAGCTCTCTGCTAATATGCCAAATACTTGAAGTAAACTTATTTATAGTGAGAAGGGGTTAATTTTTAGTCACAGTTCAGGGGACTTTAGTCCATTATGGGTGAGCTCCATTCCTTTGGCTCTGTGGGGGGACAGCACTTCGTGTCAGGAGTGTACGTGGAACAAAACTGCTAATCTTCCATCTGGGACATAGAAGGGCTGCATCTCCTGTGAATGACCTAAAGACTGTTCCTTAGGTCACAAACTTCCACCACCTCTGGTAATACCAACCTAGCAACCAAGCCCTTCACAACCAAGTCCCCGGCAACTAATCCCATAGCAATCAAGCCTCTCACATGCACATGCAATACAAACCACAGCAGGATCCTAGCTATGATTTTCTTCATACTTGTTTAGTGTGAAAACTGCCAGTTTTTATCAGTGTCCTTTGAGAGAATTCTGTGACTAACAGAAACAGCTCTATAATTCACAGCAGCTTACATATAGCACATTGACCTGTGGGGCTAATGCTCCATGGAGAACAGAGACAAAATATTAGCAGGATTATCCAAAGCAGTAGCCTCTGGTGAAGTAAAACAAAACAAGGCCCCACTTTTCACAAATTTGAAAAGAAAATGATCCACCAGGTTCACATAAAGTGCAAAAAAAAAATGTATCCAGTTCATTTATTTAGTTTCAAGAATTACCTTTAAAAATGCCACCAAGTCTTCTAATTGCATAGAACTGTATAAGGGCACAAAGATTATCTGATAAAGAGTGTGAAACATCAATTGCTTCTCAGCCTATTGACTAAGATCAAATGTAGAATGTCACTATTGATCAAAATATGGTCACTTAAAAATTAAGGCTATATTCACAAATAAGTATATGGGTACAACCGTAATTAACTATCATATTAGTTACAGCTTTTGTGCCCATCATGCCCCAGTCTGAATATAATAATCTTATTCACATGCTATGGGTGGGAAAATAAAGGATGAAGACAGTGAGGTCCACACCTAGGTATGTTTTTCTGCAGAGCTGACTAGCTACAGTCAGCCCTGGCCTCAGTGATGCTGTCTGTCAGCACCCAGCAGCATGTAAGGTATTTAAGCAGGTGACCACTTGAGTGACATCTAATTTGCCCTAAGCTGCATCATTCCAATGGACTTAAATCCCTTGTTACAGCAAAGAAAATTCTGAGAGGAAAAAGTCATGCAGATAGATGTGGTTTCATAAAACATTGAGAGAACAAGTCTGAGTGAGACAGGGAAGGCCTGCAAATGCAGTAGCCGCCAAGCCTTTGGGGGTGATGGGAGCAGATGTTACCAGCAGATTCTTAGGATGATCTGTGGTGCTGTGAGGCAGCAATGTGATCTCCTAGGGCAGCTGCAACAGCAATTTCAATTATTTTAGCTGTTTTAATCAGTAAGGGATTAGCTGTTTTAATCAGTAAGGGAATTACATGTCTTTGAATTCTCCTTCTCTCCCACAGTGGACTGCACCATAGTTCAGATATCTTAATTTTGTTCAAATTTTATTTAATCATTTTACACTCAAGTATTAAATCATTAAAAGCTAAAGCAAAACAAAAAACAAACAAACAAACAAAAAAACCCACTGCAATGTTCTTCCTTCCTTCCTTCCTTCCTTCCTTCCTTCCTTCCTTCCTTCCTTCCTT